GTCCTGTCTTTGAAAGAATATATGTATGCTTAAAAGCTTGTAAGGCAGCGTTTGCAACGACGTGTAGGCCTCTAATAGGACTGGATGCTTGTTTTCTTAAAGGGGGCTTTGGAGGTCAGTTAATAGGTGTTGTTGGTAAGGATGGAAATAACAAGATTTATCCAATCGCTTATGCCGTAGTGGAAGCTGAAACGAAAGACTCATGGAAATGGTTCCTTAATTTGTTATTAGAAGACTTACAATCTATACAAGACAACAAATATGGATTTATATCAGATCAACAGAAGGTTAGTTTTACAGTGTTGCTATTTGTTACAATGTTGTTTGATATGTTGATTTGTTTTGGTGAAACTTTATACAATGCTAAGACTGCTATATACTGCTAATTATAACTGCTAATTATAACTGCTAATTATGTTGTTGAACTGGATTACTAGGGACTTGTTATACTATTATTGAAGTTAGCTCGAATCTGATATGTTGACAGTTAGAATTAGGGACTTGTTATAGGTGGATTAATGGATTATTAGAGTGAAAATACTGTTAGGATGTTAAATGGGCTACTGCTTGATGTTAGCTCGAATTTGTAGTGAATTATTAGAATGAAAATATTGTAGGAAGTTAGTGGAATTTGTAATTGGTACTGCTATATACTGCTGCCTGCTGCCTGTTGAGATGTTGGTGTGGTACTTATAATTTGGCGAGGTACTTATAATTTGGTGTGGTACTTATAAATGGTTATAATGCTTAGAAGTTATACTGCTATAGGTACTTATAATGCTTAGAAGTTATATGCTTAGAAGTTACAATGCTTAGAAGTTATACTGCTATAGGTACTTATAGGTACTTATAAATGGTTATAATGCTTAGAAGTTATACTGCTATAGGTACTTATAGGTACTTATAAATGGTTACAATGATTAGAAGTTATACTGCTATAGGTACTTATATGGAAGTTAGGAAGTTATAATGCTTAGAAGTTATGTTGGTGTGGTACTTATAATTTTGTTTCAATTGGACTGCTATATACTGCAGAATTTTTGTTAGACTGCTATATACTTTGGTACTTATAATTTGGACTGCTATATAATTTTTGTTACTTATATAGCAGAATTTTTGTTTCAGTTTGGTACTTATAATTTGTTACTTATACTGCAGAATTTTTGTTTCAATTTGGTACTTATAATTTGGACTGTTATATAATTTATACTGCAGAATTTTTGTTTCAATTTGGTACTTATAATTTGGACTGCTATATAATTTATACTGCAGAATTTTTGTTTCAATTTGGTACTTATAATTTGGACTGCTATATAATTTATACTGCAGAATTTTTGTTTCAATTTGGTACTTATAATTTGTTACTTATACTGCAGAATTTTTGTTACTTATAATTTGTTACTTATACTGCAGAATTTTTGTTTCAATTTGGTACTTATAATTTGGACTGCTATATGATTTATACTGTAGAATTTTTGTTTCAATTTGGTACTTATAATTTGGACTGCTATATAATTTATACTACAGAATTTTTGTTTCAATTTGGTACTTATAATTTGGACTGCTATATAATTTATATTGCAGAATTTACATTGCTATATACAAGACTTATATACAATGCTGCTGTTGTTATATACATTGCTATATACAAGACTTATATACATTGTTGTTGCTGTTATATACAATGTTGCTGCTGTTATATACTGATATGTGCTGTTATTTCAGAGATTGGTACCGGCTATTCTTGAGACAAGCCAACATGTTGAACACAGACTATGTGTTAAACACTTGTATGGCAATTGGAGAAAGAAATATCCTGGGATATTTATTAAGGAGGCTTTATGGTGGGCAGCTAGAGCCACAACAATTCCTGCATGGGAAAGAGCAATGAATCATATGAAAGAGCTCAATGTCAATGCTTGGAAAGACATGATGGATATCCCAGCTGCATGTTGGACTCAGTCTCATTTCAAAACAGACACACAATGTGATTTGCAAGTCAACAATATGTGTGAGGCTTTTAATCGTGCAATCTTGGAGTATAGAGATAAGCCGATCATTTCACTATTTGAAGGAATCAAACATTACATAACAGTGAGAATATCTGCTAAAAAGGAGGAATTAAGTAGGTACACAGGTGTTACAAGTCCTAGCATTCAAAATGTCTTAGAAAAAACAAAGAGGGCAGCAGAAGGATGGATTGCAACATGGCATGCAGATGATGACTTTGCTATATTCGGAGTTTCAAACGGTGTTGAGACATATGTTGTGAACTTGCTTCAACAGAAATGTGGTTGTAGGAAGTGGGATTTAAGTGGAATACCGTGTTGTCATGCTATTGCATGCATATGGTATAACAAGAAGGAGCCCGGAGAATATGTTTCATCATTCTATAGGTATCACCTACTCGTATATTATGTTCATTTACATTCATCTTTTTTGTACGTTAACTAAAATCATTGTGTCATATTGTCTAGGAAATCTACTGTTCTGGCTACTTATAGCCATATCATCCTGCCAACCAATGGCCCACAACTATGGCCTGTTAATGTTGCTAACCCAATCAGCCCTCCAGTCATGCGAAGATCTATCGATCGTCCTAAGAAGAATCGTAACAAGGCGAATGATGAACCGATGATAAGAAATACACTGCCTAGAACTCTTCAAACTGTCAAGTGCAAGAAATGTGGGAGTTTTGGTCATAACAAACGAACTTGTAAAGGGAAGCGAGCTGCGGAGAGAGCGATTCCTAAAGGTGGCAACAAAAAATCTAAAAAAAAACGGTGACAAGTCGGGCAACGAAGCAGGAGAAACTATTGTAGACGGAGGGTCGCAAGCACCGCCACCAACCCAAGAATAGTTCTATGTTTTCTTAATGTCTTTTTGTTAAAATATGTTGTCTTTAATGCTTCCGTCAATGTAATGATACATCGGTCTTGTACTTCTGTTGCAAGAGCCAAAACAGAACTTCTGCTGTTATGAAGTGTATACATTCACTGTTAATTTTTGATAACAGATATGTTATGAAGTGTTCTTTACTACTGTGTCAAATTCTTCTCTAAATGTGACTAGTACTTCAAAGCATAAATTCTAAGCCACATGACACATAAATTCTAAGCTAATTTGATAATTCAATTACACTAACCTATGAAACTAACTAATTACATCAACTGACCTTTTCAAAACAAATTAGCTGAATCAATACATTAGAGGTAACTTAGTTTCAATTCTAACTACAGCTGCAGTTCATAACAGTTTTCATGCTAACCATTTCAAAATTCAATTACACTAACCAAACAAACTAACTAATTACATCAACTAACTTTATCATACTCCAAACTAATTCAGCATAACAGAAATAGATAGCAAGTCATAAGGTTCACATCAAAATTTTTTACCAAAAAGAACAGATTCTATAAATGCATTTCATTTTGTTAATGTGAATTGTTGTTCGGTGTTGAAGGAGGCTCGAGCTGCGTTTGTGTTCTTCAAGTCGCGTTACGCTGCTGCAACTGCTTTCCATTTGCAGCCATCAATCAATCCAACTCAGTGGATTACCGAGCCTGCTCCGCAACCTCATGATGTTTACTGACCTTTCTTTTCGGAATCTTTCATGAAACAATGGATTTCTAAGTTGGTGGTTATAGTTGTGTGTATTCTTTTCACAATCTTGTTCCTTATACCATTTGTAATCTGCTTATTCAGTTCTCTTGTTTTACAAATAAGTAACTACAACAGTAATGCACGCACTTTATAATGATACATAGTGCACTTATTGGATATAATTTCAAAGTATTGCAACTGATGCAGTTCCAGACTTACTAGATTAATGTTCTCCAGTACTCTACAGATTAATGCTCCATAAACATCATTTGAAGACAATCAAAGTAACTACAACATAACTCTTCATTAACATAGACAATCATAACTCTTCATTTGAAATTAGTTCATTTAGAAACTACATAAACATCAAAGTAACTACAACACTTGACATTACATCATTTGAGTACATGTGTTGCAACTAATGCAAACACAATTAAAAAGACAAACATCAAAGATAACCCCACAAAATAATACATAAACCTAATTTTCATCTTCAACAAATCTTCATTTTTCTTGATGTCCTTAATCACATCCATGAGCTCCTCATTCTTGTCGTTCAAAGATCTTATCACATCTTTAGCACGACTGCTCATGTCTTCATCAACCCACTGAAAGTAATTACATCCTTTTTTTCTCATCACCTTAAAATTACCACACCCATGAAATCTTCTTCCGGGATTATCGTATGTCCATGACGTCATCAACGGTGACTCAAACTCACACCAACATCTATTACCTCTTCTTCTTATACCAGACCCAGACTGGTTTGTTGAGGAAAAAGATAAATTCGTTTCGGACATGTCGGTAAATAGGAGGGCTGGTATGGGTTTGTTGAGAAAAATGGGTTACAATGGCATGCAAAACTGGGTTTGGGGTTTGATTCGTTCGTGAAAATGAAAATGGGAAGATGAAAATGGTTACAATGGGTTGAAGATGAATATGAAATAATATTTAAGTTAATGAGATTTTTTATTTAAGTTTTATTTTATTAAATTTATAAAAATGAAATAATATTTAAGTTAATGACATAGAAATGCCACATCAGCATTCAACACGCCACCTCATTAAAAACATGACTTAAAATGACAAGGGGACTAATATTAATCTTGAAATCTAAAAAAGGGACCAAAATCGTAGTTTTTAAAATAGGGGGATCAAAACTAAAAAAAATAAAAAATAGGGAGACCAAAGTTGCAATTAAGCCTATTATATTTAATGGAGTGAGGTTCCAATCCAGTTAAGAGGCTTTCCTAAAAGATAACAATATTAGTTATTTTAATCCATGTCGCCATAGAATTGAATCACGGACTGTCTCCTTCTGAATAAGTATCGAATGCATCACAATAAGATAGATAGTAAACAACAACAACTTATCATAATTCTAATCTCCGACACCCATGGCTCTGGACTTTAGTTACATCCCCATAATTGGTATTTCAACTCTTACTCACTTTTCTCGTCAAATCCTTTTGCGTGTTTCACCGATATCTGATATACTTACACACATGATGCAGATATTAGTCCTCTTTTAGCCAAATCAGATGACCCAAAAATGGGTCAAGACCCTGGAGTACTTGATGTTGTTGCACAATTGGATAAAGCTTGTACTCAGGCTGGCTTCTTTTATGTGGTAACTAATTCTTCCATCTCTTAACTTTATTACCTAGTTTTAGAATTACGAGATAAAATTGGTTAGTATTTATCTGCATTATATCAGAAGTTCATCTTTTATTGACAGAAAGGCCATGGTATTCCTGATACACTTCTCAAAGGGGTTAGAGATATAACGCATACATTCTTCCAACTTCCTGATGAAGAAAAGGCAAAAATCAAAATGACCCCGTCGAATGGGTTCAGGTTTTCTTTGTATATAAATTTCACTTGAGTGCTGTTCCATCAATTTATACTAATACCACCCTAACAATTGATGATGCAGAGGATACCAGAAGATTGGAGAAAATATAACTGAAGGTACCCCTGATATGCATGAAGCGATTGATGTAAGTCTCGGTGTTTGCTTCACATAAAATTAGGTTTCTTTGTTTCTACTATGTTCTTATAAATCATATTTCTTTTTTATCACTTAACAGTGCTATAGGGAAGTGACTAAAGGCATGTATGGAGATCTTGGCAAAGTTATAGAAGGATACAACAAATGGTATGATGAAATTGGATTCTCTGAATTGTAGTATGCTTCTAATCCAAAATTTCTGGTTAACTAAGAACATTCATTATGCAGGCCAAAAAATCCTCCAAAGTTCGAAGTTCTTATGGAGGAATATATTAGTCTCTGCACAGGCATGGTTTCTCCTAGACTATTTAGAATGTTCATCGAGTAAGTTTCTCCGACTAAAGTTGTTTTTCTTATATGTTGTTCTTTTGGTTGGAGCAGATCTTGCGAGGAAAATTATGCGCGGAATTGCTTTAGCGTTAGGTGGATCACCGTATGAATTTGAAGGTGATAGAGCTGGTGATTCATTTTGGTTGATGCGGATAATTGGTTACCCAGGTGCATCCACTGTAAATGACATTGGATGGTAATGAAATCAATCCAGAACCTGAAGCTCTCACATGTTCTTGCCTTTTTTTCCTGTCATTTTGTTAGATGTTACATTATTGATGTTGTGTTTCCTTTTTGCTCCTTTTTCTTCTCCATTTCTTTCTATCGAAACAAATCCAGTGGAGCTCACACAGATTATGGTATATAGAAATCTTAAACTCTACATTATGATAAAGTCTAGAATATTGTTTTATTCCTTGGCAATGATTTTAGATGCGGCACTGCTTAACAGGTTTATTGACATTGTTGAACCAAGATGACGATATTAATGCACTTCAGGTTTGCAATATACTGGTTCTTTCTGTTTAACAGATACCCTTAGGCAGTTATTTGTTGCATTGCATGCAACAGTTCTTCCCTTTATGATATTTTGCTATCTTCTTTTTTATTTTCTTGTTTGATACTTTTTTGTTTCCGCGTTTTGCCAAATTGTTGAAGGTAAAAAACCTATCTGGCGAATGGATATCCGCACCTCCAGTTCCAGGGTCATTTGTGTGCAACATTGGTGACATGCTCAAGGTATCTTACACTTAAATATTGCCTGAGATTTGGTGATGAGTTTATTAAGTGTGGAAGATATATAACTGCAGATATACTCCAACGGTTTGTACGAGTCAACATTGCATAGAGTGATAAATAACTCCCCAAAATATAGAGTCAGCATAGTATATTTTTACGAGGTTAGCCCCAATTCGTATTGTATCATTCATTTTTACACGGTCTTTTAAGTCGCTGATATGATTTCTCACTGCTGCATGCACAGACGAACTTTGATACTACGGTAGAGCCACTAGATACATATAAAACAAGGACAAATGGCAACAAGAGGTTTGAAAGAGCGATCTATGGAGAGCATCTAGTCAGGAAAATCCTCACAAACTTTGTGGAGGAATGACTTTGTTCTTTCTCTTTCTAACGAACAATAAGTTAAGTATCTTGTTGTTAAGCTAGCTCCTTTCATGTCCATATCTACTAAGAATAATGCTAAGTCAAAATCAAGCATTTGATATATATCAATGTTTATGCTCTTAAAAACTAATGCCCTGAGAACAATTTCAGTTCCAAAACTAGACCTGGGATACTCGTATTTCACACTGTTGTATGATATCATCCAAATATACACAAGGTGTAATAGAGAAAAACATAGTTCGGATGAAACATACACAAATCCGACCTTCGAAATGTTAAAGATGAACATAAAAATTTGTCAGCTCAGAAGAAGAATCCACGTTTTAACAGTTATGTGTGCAACACCACTTCCAATAGGGCATAAGAATGAAGTCAAATACAACACAAAAGTGTATTTTATGAAAATGAAAACAGAAAACACTTAAATAAACAGGCCTAAGTGATTTGAACCAATCTAATTTCTAATTGTTACAAAATTGTAAATAAGTGTGTAGACATGCTTGCTTTGCTTGGCAGAGCCACCACTCGCAGACCATATTTCACTATGGTTCTGGTTTAACTTTGATGGTTCTGGTTTAACTTTGAACCCTAGGATAAGGCATTTGAAGCTAGTTGTGTTGATCTGTGTCTGTAGGTTCCATTCCAGTACGTTTAAAATAAAGTGGAATTCTAGTACCTGTTGTTGGGTTTGGACTCTCTTCCTATATGGAGAAAGACTCAAATATGATTAGTCTATTTGTTTCACTTATTTAAGTGGAGAGAATCAATTTAGGGTTAAGAGAGATAGAGAAAAAATAAAGATTCAAAAAGAGAGAAGAGGAGAGAAACTCATTTCCGTTTTTCTGCAACCAGTCTCACTAAATCAACGATCCTAGATTCGTTAACCGTTGGATTGAGCTCAAATTTAGTGGACAGGTTTATAACACATATATCTAACTTTTGAACGTTCAAAATTTCAATACAACGTCTGAGGTGAAAGTTATTTGCTTCGCACTGAAACTGCAAATTTGGATAAATTTTTCAGCTTTTTTGTTTCTTATTTGTAACCTAGTTTGTTTTGTGATTTGCGGTTGTTTGCACTAGTTTGTGAATCACTTTAAGACTCTCTTGTACCCTTAATTGATTATAGTGGAGATATTTTTTTGGTCTAGACGACTCGTGGTTTTTACTCTCATATTGAGGGATTTTCTACGTTAAAAATATCGGTGTTTTTTTTGTTCCTTTATTTGTTCGATTTGTTGTCTTATGTTTGTTGTTGATCCTCAAGGTTCCTAAAAGTTTGGGAAGTTTTATATCCGCTACGTATTGGTCTATTATCGTGTCTTAATTTTCCATCAGAGTGGCATTAGAGCTCTTGGTTAAGGGTTATTTTACTTGTTTGAATGATGGACTCAAATACAAAGATGATGATGCTATTGTTGAATGATTCTAATTGTCATTTATGAAATGGAAAGATGAAAGACTTACTATTTGTGAAGAAATTGCATTTACCGGTTTTTAGTTTCGCAAAGCTGGATTTTGTGTCTAATGAAGAATGGGAGTTTGAACATTAAAAGGTATGTGGTTTTATTCGAAAATATGTAGAAGATAATGTTTATAATCATATTGTTAATGAGACACATGCAAAAACTTTGTGGGAGAAGATAGAGTCCTTGTATGTCTCTAAATTAGGGAATAGTAAATTGTTCTTGTTGAATAGCTTCATAAGTTTGAAGTATAAGGAGGAGATTTCTATTTCAGATCACTTGAGTGAATTTCAAGGCCTCCTTAATCAAATGTCAGAAATGGGTATCAAATTTGATGATGAACTTTTGGGACTATTTCTATTACTATCTTTACTAGAGTCTTTGGATACATTTCGAGTTTTTATCACAAGTTCTGCTCCTAGAGGTGTTGTTTCTTTGAAAATTGCTAAGGGTGGTATTCTTAATAAGGAGATGAGAAGGAAGGCACATGGTTCTTCATCTCAACCCGAGGTACTTGTCACTGAAAATAGGGGGAGAAGTAATAAAAAGGAACTGAAGGGTGGCAGAGAGAATAGCAGAAGCAAGTCCAAGCCGCGATATAAGAATCTAGAGTGTCATTATTGTCACAAAATAGGACACGTAAAGACGTATTGCTATCAGTGGAAAAGAGATAACAAAGGCAAGAAGGGTAAGTATAAACAAAGAGACCATGAAGATCGTGATGATGATCGTGTTACTACTGTTACTAGTGATGATCTTGTTATTCTTCGGGATCATGAGTCTGTTAATCTTGTATCAAAAGAGAGCATGTAGATAGTTGCTAGTGGTGCTACATTGCATGTTACACCAAGGAAGGATTTCTTCATATCGTATACTTCTGGTGATTTTAGAGTGTTAAAGATGAGTAATGATGGTATATTCAAGGTAATTGGTGTTGGTGATGTTTGCTTGAAAGCCAACACGGGAATGCAATTGTTGCTTAGAGGTGTCAAACATGCTCCAGATGTCCGCTTTAATTTGATCTCTGTGCATATGCTAGATGATTGTGGTTATGATAATCACTTTGGTTTTGGAAAGTGGAAACTCAATAAGGGTAACTTGGTTGTGGCTAGAGGGTAAAATCTTTCTAAATTGCATTGGACAAAAGCTTTGGTTGCTAGGGACAGTGTGAATGTTATCAACATGGAAACATCTTTGTGGCACCGAAGACTTAGTCATATTAGTGAAAATGGGTTGAATGTTTTGGCCAAAAAGGATGTTCTTCTTGGATTAAAGAATGTAGAATTGGAGAAGTGTTCTCATTTCATGGTTGATAAACAGACTAGAGTATCTTTCAATAGACATCCTCCCTCAAGAAAGTCAAAGTTGCTTTAGTTGGTACATTATGATGTTTGTGGTCCATTAAAGGTAAAATCCTTTAGTGGTGCACTTTATTTTGTTTCCTTTATTGATGATTTCTCCAAGAAGCTATGGGTTTATACCTTAAAGGAAAAAGACCAAGTTTTGGAAAAGTTCAAAGAATTGCATGCTTTGATTAATAACTTCCACTGGCTCTTTGTGTGGCTGAGTCTCTTTCTGCTCGTGCTTAAGGAGACTTGCTATTTTAGCTGGTAATTCCAAAGTGGAAGGTAAAGCAACGGTGTAATACCAAAACAAATTATTCACATAAATTTTTTTGGAGTTAGTTTACACAACTTTGTTGTAGTATGCTTTCAAAATAACCTTGCTTCAGTTAGGTCTTTTGAGAGTTGTATTATGGTCTGGTTCACGGTTTATGAAATAAAGGATAAAAGATCAAAGTTATTTGTATCCACCCAATCTTCATGAATATCTTCAGTCCTACGCGCAGTTAACTCAAACTATGCACTCAAATTCCTAGGGATTGGGAATTGTATTGATGATAGTAATTTCCATGGCTTAGAAGTCAAGGGACCCTTGAGATGGCAGTCGCTGCTTCCTTACAACATTTAGTTGTTTTGCCATTGAGGATTTCCATTGTGAGGATTTAAATATCTCATATTTTTGTTATCCCTAACTTTTGCCTAAACTGTTTCTTTTAAAGCTTACAGTCATGCCCTAGTTTTTTGCCTAGGTCTCCTTCATAGGTTTTGACTTAGCGGACCTTTTCTTTTGATTTTTCTCTTTTCCCCTTTTTTTGAGAAAGAAAGTGACTCCCTGGGTTAATGATCACGATGAACCATCATTAGCTTTTGACATGAAAGACATCTTCGACACTTGCTTGTTGAGTGCGAAGGAAAACTTGTGGATGCAACCTTTATTGAAAGGTGTCTTGCATGAAGCTCTTGTATTTGAATTCACAACCAAGTTAACTAAGAACTACCATTCCTAGGTTAAGATTTCGAGTTTTTGTACAGAAGAAACTCCAACTTCTAGGCTCAAAGGGGTTGACAACGGACTAACTTCCTTATATCTCCAGTGTTTGGGAAATTGAAACAATGCCTTACATCGTCAGCAAAGTTTTGATCTAAAAGCATACCAACAACAATTATGAATATTTTGTTTTTGTCATCATCCCTTCAATCTTTGCATAATCAAAATAAAGTGTACAAGAGGTACATATTTTTGAAAGAGAAAACATAAAGGTGTAAATAACAGGCATAAAATAAATTGAACCAAAATATTGCAATGCTCATTTCATTAACATGGAAGTGCAAACAGAATCTGAAAGTAAACATCTAATCAACATGGCCTAGTGACTAATCAACAACAGGGGTGAGTTGGCCTGTCTGAAACACTGGCTTTAGGAGAATAGCTGGAAAAAGTTGACTGAAGCTTCACTTCTCATGCCCTGGCAGAGGATTTTCTTCAAAATTAGGAGAAACATCGTGGAAAGTGAGGATATTGTCTTTGATCAAATCCTACACTCTAGCCTTCAATGCATAACAACTCTCCTAATCATAACCTGCGTCACTTTGATGGAATGCACAATGGAGGTCAGACCCGAAACCAACTAGAAGAGGATCTGGAGGAGGGGGTAGAGTCCTAGTGGTAATCCAGCCTTTCTGAACCATAGCCGGATAGAATTCAGTGTATATCATGGGAATAGAATCAAAGTGAGTCTTATTGCAATTCTGTTTTTGTCCAACAGCCGAACATTGAGGAGCTCGAACTGTTTGAGCAGCAACTACGGGAGTAACAGCAGCAACATTAGTATGATTAGCATACCGAGGTCTGTGAAAATTCTTCTCTCCTCAACCAAGACAACATTGGTTTGGTCTTCTCTCTTCTTCTGGAAGTTCCTATAGGATTTCTTCACACCATTAGAAGATCTAACATCTTTAGACACTTTACCCTTCTTGACACCTTCTTCAAGTCTTTGGCCAATAGTCACCAAATTTGTGAAACCGGAGGAAACAATACCAATCATCTTTTCCCAATAGAAGGGAGACAATGTGTCTTTGAACATTCCTGTGAGTTCTTTCTCTGCCAGAGGGGGTTCAACCTAGGAAGCTAGTTCTCTCTAACGCTGAGCATACACCTTGAAAGATTCTCTCTCTTT